CCGGCTCCGACACCGCGCCGAGGGGCGGAAAGGCCCGCCCGCCTCAGGGCCCGAGCTCCCACCGCTATCGCCACCCTGCCTGCAGGCACCCCGGGCGGGCCTAGCCAGGGATCGCTCAGCCCGCTCTCCCTCTCCACTCACCAGGAGACCCTCGCACACCCCTCGACGTGCCCCGGCAGGAGCTTCTGCCAAGAAGGAAGCTCCTCCTCACTTCCAACCGGCCGGCGGGCTCGAAACCTACGCAACGAAGATGGGCAGGATGGCGTCCCGACCGCGCAAGTATCGCGATAGCCACGCCGCGCTCCTCAGCCCCGGCTGGGCGGCACCGGCACATGCGCGCCTCCGGGGAGAAGCAGCGACGGCGCATGCGCGGCGGATGGGGAGTTCCCGCCTATTCCTCTCCTAACTCTGCTTGAGGGGCGTCGGGGCGCATGCGCCCTAGGCCTGCGGTCACGCGGACCCTGTGTTCGCTTGGCGCCAAGCGGGCTCTGAGCTGGGAGCTCTTTGGCGGGTGCTGGCTGTGGCGCGTGCCCGTAGCGGCTGCGCGGGGATCGCCTCACGCAGGTGTCGGCGGCCGGTCGTGCCCTCGAGTGTCTGTCGCTCGGGGTGTCCGGCTCCCTCAGCGTAGGCTTGGGAGGGAGGATGGGGAAGGTGGTCCGGCATGGGCGCACGCGATGGCTGCCCGCGTGTCCTCGGCTTTGCAGCTGCGGTAAACCCGGACCCAGGGGGAACCTGGCACAGCTCCTGCCTTCGTAAATGCCTTACCGCGGGACAGGCTGGGTCGGGCGCTGTGGTGGAAGGTCCCGTTAAAGCGTTCTGGAGCTGGTAGCAGGCGATGCAAGAGGGAGGTTAAAATCTGTTTTAAAGAATTGAAAACAATCAGTGCTGAGCGCTGGGGGTATGGAAGGAGGCTTGAGTCCATGTGCGTGCTCGGAAGTGACAGGGTGGGGGGACTCTGGCTCCTCCTGCCATTAGGGAAATATTAACTTAGAGTTCTGCTACCATTTGGGGGTAAAACTGGTTAGAAAGTACCTTGCAGAAAACAGCTTAAGACTGAATAGGCACAAACGACAATGCAAATTCCTATTTTTACGGTTGATGCATTTACAAACCGGCCATTTTCTGGAAATCCTGCGGCAGTTTGTCTGCTTGAAAATGTAAGTTAAAAAAAATAACTTTTATGAGGCACTGCAGTGGCATTTAACACTCTACTTGACCTGAGCACTCAGCACTGCATTAGACTTTGCTTCCTTTACTCAGGAGTTCTGCTTGCAAGCATTGTTTGCTGTTGCTCCAGAATACAGATAAATTAGCACAAGGGTACTCTTTTTCCATCAGAACGATTTCATACAAGACATACTTTGTATTTTTTGTGGATTTTTAATTTTATTTTTTTAAGGAATATACTGGTTTTATTCTTACTGAGTTAAGTCAAAAAGAAATGGCTTAATCTATTAAGCCAATGGATTCAGAATGAAATCTCTGAAAGGAAATGCAGTAACAGAATCAGTACTCTAGTTTTTGAATGAAGTGTTAAAGGGTGGGTTTTCATTTTGGTGTGGGTTTTTTGGGGTTTTTTTCCCCTTTTTAATTTTTTTTCGTTCAATTTTTTCTCTTTCTATGGAAGGAAAGAGGGGGAGTATAGACCTGGATCTGAGTCTTTCACCAGTAGCGTGTCAGGTTCAGCTTGAGCCAAGTTTAAACAGCCAGTTTTTATTGCTTTGAAGTTGCATGGTAGTTTTAGTGCAATTGACAGTAGTCATCCTCCTCATCAAGGTGTTCTGAACAGTTAGTACTAATTGATACACTGTTGACAATTTCTACTAAAAACTAATTATTAAACTGGGTTAGAAATCTATAGGCCTTATATTATTTGTGTAGTAACAACTGATGAAAATTGTAAGTATGAAAATATATGTAGAGCAGTCAATGGCAATAGCTTGTACTGATAATATGAGTCCTTTCTAGATGTTCCTAAGCCTATCTAGATCTCATACAATATAGTCTACTTACCAGACCAGCTGAAGTTATGGTATAACCTGCTTACCAAACCAGCTGAGAACGTCTTACTTCAGAGGTATTTTTGCCCCCTTAAAATCTAAATAATCCCTCTCAGAATGAACTTACTTTAAAACTATAAGCTTCTAATTGCATTTTTATATTAATTTTACTTCATTACATTAGTATACTGTGAGGGCAACTTATTTGCATGTTGCCTTTGGAATGTAGAGACTTTAAAGTTTTTTCTACAGTACCTGGGGCTAGAGGATTTAGTGTCAAAGTTAAAGCTGAGATTCAGTTAAAGCTGAGATTCTAATTCATAATTTTATCCTAAGCTCCAAGAAAGTATGGTGCAGCTAGCAGCAATATTTCTGTTCTCTGTTCCCTTCAGAGTCTCAGCAGATGCTTTATGAAAACCGTTGGGAGTAATGCAAGAATGGCAAAACAAGCCCTTTCTGTGTTTCAGAAGTGCCACAGGATGGCAGTGTTTCAATAAAGTTATATTATTTTTAATAATGCTTTGGTTGGTCTTTGTTCTGGTTTAGTGTCTTTAGAGTAATTGACAGTCAGAACTATTTTCCTGGAATAAAGGAGAGGCAGTTGTTGCCGTAAAAAGTTAGAATGTTGTTTCATTGTATAGAATTCACTCTGCGAATAGAGGTCTATGATACACATCAGAGATTGTTTCATATCTGTAGTATGGGATCATTGGCTGAAAAGGATTAAAGTTATTAAGGGAAATAAGTAAAGTTTGCAGAGCAAATTTTTATCTGTCAGAGGTTGAACCTGACCAGGTCCACTCTGTACTTTGTTTCATTTGTATTTTAAAGACCAGATTCTCAAACCTGGCCAGTCAGCATAATTGTGAGGAAAGAGCAATGGAACAAGGGTGAAGTAGAATTTCATAAAATCACTACAGCTCAGGTATCCTGGGATCAATGTTCACTGGTTTAAATCTGCAGGCAGTTAGAGCAGAATGTAGTGAGCTCCAGCATTTTTGTTTTTCGGTTTATCTCCTCTCAGCTTCTACTGACTTAGCATATTGTTCCTGTTGTTCAAAGAGTAGTATCGAGGGTACAGCTGTAAGTGCTGATCAGCCATCTTGGCCATTGCCCTAGCCATTACTAGATACCTCTTACTGGCATGGATTTTTCAGAGTTATAAAAAGAGAGTTGTAGTTATTTTTAGATTATGTTAATAATGACTTCTCAGTGTGACTTTAATCACGACTTTAAAAAAATATTTGTGTTCATGGAAAGATTGAGTTTAGTTTTTTTGGTAATTTTATTTTCCATGTATTCCAAGAATTTGTAAACTAATAGGACAGATATTAGAAATACCCCATGTATCACAATGATTGAACCAGTCATCCCATTTTATGCTTAAAGTTTGTTTTTAGTCCCAGAAACTATTTTGAAATAAAAATGAATCTATGTTTTATTATAAATACAGTAATTTAATTTTCTTTTATTTGACAGAAAGTTTGATTCTGCATTTTTTTTGGCCTGCTTTTAATTAGATTTGTTGTTTCATCATTAGGACTTGGATGAAGATTTGCACCAAAAAATTGCAACAGAAATGAACCTTTCAGAAACTGCTTTCATCAGAAAACTGCACCCTGGAGATGACTTTACCAAAAGTGAGTGGTTCTGTTTACCCACCAAAATCTCTTACAAGGGAATAGGAAGACACTGTGGGTATATTTATAAGGAATGGTGCTAATTTGTAAGGCAGCCAAAGCCAAATCTTGGAATTGTGATGTATCTTACTTAATAATAATAAGCCTTTTGCACATGATTCTTTAAAGTATTTGTGCTGCATATCAAATTCATTTTGCAATATAGAAACATTTATTATTCATAAATTAGACCATTTGTTTTAGTGTCTTTTACTAAATAAGCAAGTTGTATATAGAAAATCTCCTAAAAATGCTATGCAAAGATCCTTCAGTTAATACTTCCATTACTACTAATAATATCCTGAGATAATTTCTTATTATACAAGCAGAAGAATACAGACAGGACGTGCTTATTCCATATGCACAAGACTGCAAAATGAGTAGACTCTGGCTTGGCTGTTCAGGAAATCATCAATAGGGTAACTGTAAGCTATTATTCGAGTTTGTCATAAAATCTCATAAGCTGTCTGTGGAGCCAATACTGGAAAATTCAGGTTTCCAACAAAACTGGGAAATCTGAAGTTGCCCAAATCAAACACATTAGGCTGCTCATTTGATTGGTTTGAGTGGAGGGACTTCACTGGTGTTCTTTGGTAGGGCATGTATATATGACGGGAGAGGAAATGGAGGGACACTAGACAAGGTAGAAAATATCAGACAAATACAAAGTTCAGTCAAAATCGCTTTGTGGATTAGTTTTCAGCTGAATCAGTTTGTTGAATCTGCTCTCTTTGCAGTTGTGTGGTGGCATGAGCCAAGGGGCTGGAACCCCCCTAGCCCAGAGTTAGATTCCAGGTTAAGGTATCATGTTGGCATGCCCTTGCTTTGATACGACATAGTGGCAGAGAGAGATAAACAGCTTCGGGGTTATCGTCTGTCTGAAAGAGGCCCTAGAACAGTATGCAAAGAAACTGTTCTTTGTCATTTGATTGGTTGTTCAGGGAATGGGATTTTGTACAGTCTCTGTAATGAAAGAGGATTTTCTTAAAGTAATAACTATCGTCACTTACTCCTATTGTTAATAAATTGGAATTTGTTTTAGGGTTAGACTAATTGCTTGAATCAAGAAGTGATAATACTTTTCATTTTTCATGTTAATGTTTTTCATGTTAACACCTTGCCAATACGTTTAATACATTTATTTATTTTCAAGTCATCCATATCCAACAGCATGTAAAATGCCAGCTTCTTTCTCATTAAAGTGCTTTTGATATTAATGGGAGTAGAGTTTGTGACATCAGACCCACACAGCTGCTGAAGAGGTGCACAGTTTTTTCTGAAGGAATTTAGTCACTGAGCTGCACCTGAGAATGTGTGTATTGGGGGGTGGTGGGAGCGAGATGAGACCAGGAACATTAGAATGTCATTTATGAGACTATCATCTGCTTCTGGAACATTAATTGGTGTAGTAAGGGCTCCTGGACAAAGAGAATTTTTTTGCAGGAGTATGAGTTTGTGATCAGTGCATTTAATTTAATTTTAATTTTAAAAAATCTACCTTATTTTAGGGATACATTAATTTTTGAGAGTACAAAATGTCTTCTCAGTCTGAGTACAGCTGTATGTCTCAAGCATCCAGGCAGGTGTTCTGGGTCACAGAGCTGGTCTGTCTCTGGTCGGTCCTGGCTGACTCCATTTCCTCCTGCTTTCAGCCACAATTGCCACTTGTGGGAGTGCATTTAACACCACAGGGCAGGCTCATAGCTGGGTTCTGCGTCTGCCCTGTCTCGGAGCACTTCTCTGCCATGTCCATTAGTTTCATCCACTAGGTTTTGTTGGGATTCTATTTGTTTTCATTAGATAGGGAACTGACTTTAATGCACTAATTTTTCACAGGGGCAATGACAAGACTTGTTTGTTGTTTTTTTTAAAATATTGTTTGTTTCTTTTGCACATTTTAGTTGTGTTTGTATGGTAATTATTCACTTGAAATATATTTTCATAAGCATTATCTTAAATGCCATGGTGCAAGAACTCTGCAAAAGCTACAGGAAACCAAGTATGGTGCACTTGGGTTCCAATTTTTTCAAACAACAAATAGAAATATGATTCTAGTGAAATGAGGGGTTAGTATACATTAGAGGCTTTTACCAGACTTGACTGGTGGTTTAAGCAAAATAATTCATAACTGACCTAGCTCCGATACAGGTTCCATTATACCAACAAAACTATCTTTAACCCCTAAAGGGTAACCCAGCCTGCAGGTGAATAGAGATCGCGACTGTGACTTCGTAGAATTCCATAATACACAAGGACATGGAGGTTTCATCTTCTAAATTCTCTACTTTATTACAGATTACCACAAAAATCACCACTAGCAAGTATACCTATGATTAATAAAGTGAAAAAAAAAAAAATGTATCAAGCTATTACAAATTATTATCAGTGATCAATAGTATAGCAGGAATCAGTAATAACAGCAAGAAGTATATATATAATATTACAGGTTACTACAAACTTACTGCTAGTCAATAATATGACAGTAGAGATGATAGATTACTTATGTGTGTATATATATGGTACCAAACACATTAAATAGATTCCAGAGGGGAGGACAAACGGATTCCAGAGGGGGACGCAGCCATCCCAGAAGTGGGAAGACAAACAAAACTGAGCCCAGAAGTGGGCCCAGAGGGGGACCAGTAAAATAACAGTCTTACTTCAAAGGTGATCTGTGTCATGGAGTTTGGAGTCAGCCATGTGTCCCCAGCAAGGGTCCATGATCTTGTAGAAAGTTTGTGCAGACCTGTTTAGGAAAGGGAAAAATATATGCAGCACAGAAAGTTCTCGGAGAGAGAAGCTCCATTTTGGGTAAAAATTAAGTAATTTTTATATCATAGAGACATAAGAGAACATACGACACCACCACTTCAAGAGGCCAGTAGATGCTGTTAATTTATATTTTTCATCTGGAACAGCCAATAGATGATGATGTTTTCTATTCTCTCAGACCAGTTTTTGTTTTTGCAGACTGTTTTCCTGTTCTTTCAGTTAGAACAGCCAGTGGCAGTTACTGATTCTTGCTTTCTCAGATGTTTTCCCCTTTTTCCAGACTATTTTTCACCTTTTCAAGGTGATAAGTTGCTGTTACAGTTTGTTGGTTTTATGCTTAGCAATTAAATCTCAGCATGTCTCCACTTTCTAGCTACCCAGCAGCACTTCAAAGGTGCCAACTGCACTTCTCAAGGATGCTTCTGGTTCCCAGGCCTAGTTCCCAGGCCGGCTGGCATTTTTATTCTGCAGCTTCTTTGCTCTTCTAACAAAGTAGCTTTCCTCCATTAGTAGTAGACTCCTTTTGTTGACCTGACTCAAAAGCAATAGCTATTCCAAAAATCAGTACAAAATAGGTTCCTAAAAGTGTGTTTAAGACCAAGACTGATTATAACATGCATTTTGATTAACTGAAATGTCATCGCTCTGTGTAAAGTTTTGAGATAAATGGAAGAAATAGACTTCTTCTACTTAATAACGCTAAATAAACTTACATTTTCAAGGTTCCTGCTTTGGACTCAGATGGTTCACCCCAGCCAATGAAGTTCCTCTCTGTGGTCATGCTACACTTGCAGCAGCTGCTGTGTTGTTTCACATACAAAGTATGTTTACAAGCTATTTATTACTATAACTACTTAGAAAATTTACTTCTAATTAAGAAGATCTCTATTTTCTACAACAGAGGCAATTAAATATTCAGAACATTTAGAGAACACATATGGAGATACCTTAGGTATTGTCTTCTACAACTGTAATTATAAGGTTGTAGTCTGATGCCCACACTTGGATTCCGATGCCCTACTATTACTCCTGTTGAAGAAAAGTGCTAAACATGCAAATGTTATCTGGGAGAGATACAGTAGAATTTGATGAATAGGGAATATTGCTCTTTCTGTTAAAAGGAAATTCCCATTCATTCTAGGAATGTGCAGGAAAGATTCACTGGCAATTGCTGTTTATTAGCCTCAGCAGATTATTTATCGAGTTAGTTGGGAATTTTTTCTCAGAATACAGGTTTACTGTAGTTATTATATTGTAGCTGCATAACTAACTTTTTCTGAATATACTGAACTACTCTAAGAGCTATAATAATTTAGATTCAAATTCTTATGTTTAATAATGTTGCAGTGTTCTCTCTCTAGAAAACACAAATTCAGTTCTCACATTTGTGACGCTGAGTGGGGAATTAAAAGCCAGACAAGTGGAAGATCATATTGTCCTGGACTTACCACTTTACTTAACCTACCCACAGGTCAGTCAAAATTTTATTCATTAAAGGCTTTCAAGGAAAGTATGTGTTTATGTTTGTATGTGTATGTAAGTATATCTGTCTGTCTGTAATTGGATGGATACATACATATATATGTTCTATTTTTTACAGTGTGGGTTTATTTTTTTTTTTGCTTCAGGTACTTCAGGAAGTACAAGAGTTAATAAAGGTAAAAAAAGAATCTATATGTGGTCTTAGAAGCACATTTATAATAGCTATACTTATTTTTGTATATTAAAATGGCTGAAAAGTGGCAACAGGGCATTGCTTGATGTACTCCTGAACTTGAAACAGTAAACTTTAAAGATCTGAGTCATGCAGCTCAGGAAATGGAATTCTCCAAAAGGCTGCAGTTGAACTTTTGTCTCCCGCTACCATTGACTGGAGTGTCAGTATTTATTTCAGTGGCATTTTCAGCCTATTGTATGCACGTGAGGGCAATCTAGTGTCCTTGCCCTCTTCTAGGTCCGTGAATTTCTTTCCAAGCTGACATATACAGAGCTCTTAGCACCTACCCCTAACCATTCATGCACTTAGTGCATTTACGTTTCTTGCTTGCGTGTACTTGAGGGCTGCATGAAACACTTTGCATAAGCCCTGTTCCAGCAGGGAATTTCTTCTATGAAAATGTTAAGGAAATAATATTTCATATTCAAATGACGACATTTTTCTTTGTCTCCTTTGACTTTTCCACCAGGCAGCCGTTGGTGACATGATTGTTCAAGATCTCCGTTATTCTCCTGACACAAAGAAACTCTTAGTCCGCCTCAGTGATGCTTATGAAAGGTGTCTTATACTTTTTTTTTTTAAATCAAGTGTGCAGAAATTGAGTCTGCTTATTTAACCTCTATTCCTTGTATACTAGGCTCTTTTGTCTAGTTTTAAAACAGGTGGAGATTAAAAACTCTAATTTAAACTCCTGTGTTAAATAGTTATTTTATCTTCTAATGTGAGCTTATTGAGCCTGCAAAGCTGAATAAGATCAATCTGAAATCTGTCTCCAAGAAAAGGAGGTGTAGGAAACAGTTTTAATGATGGTGTATTTCCCCCATCCATCTGAATAAAAAAAATGATCCAGTAACCTAGCAGGAAATTAGGAGTCTTGCTTCTCAAATGAAGAAGTAATAGTTGCATAGCTATAGAGGTCCGCTTAGTGAGACAGCGCACATTGACAGAATGCCATGGATTCTTATTCCCATTTGACTGTAATCTGCTTACGCATACTTAACAACATCATAAGTAGCTTTATAGAGGAAATTCCAATTCAAATTATTCCAAAGCATATGTTGATCTCAGAGAGCTGAATTTCATTGTTAAGTCAAGTATAATTTGGATATATATTGCCGAAACACAACTTCTTTAATCAGGCCAAATTACTATTATTTTCACTTGAAATTTGGCCTAACTAATGTTTAAAGATTGGGCTAGTGGGGAGATAGAAATATCCTCAGCTGAGTATTTATTATTTTTACTGTTTCAGACTGTATTTTGTAGGGAGGTATCGCAACTTCACAGACCTGAGACTGTTGTAGAATCCCATGAAGATCTGAATGGTGTTAGTTATTTGCTTGCTCTGAAAGGAGGTGGAGTGCTTACTCTTTGCCTTCTGTAGTGATGAAATATTTCTTTCAATGATTAAAATGTTGAAACAAAAGTGTGCTCTTTTGTAGCTAATATCCCAGGATGCTCTGTTTTCAGAAATAAATAGGAAATGCGTGGCTTGAACTTTTTTCTCTGCTCACTCAGAGTGTATTATATTCAGGGTAGTCTTCTGTCAAATGACATTGGGAGGACAATGCTAGGAATCTTGTCTCCTCTAACATTTTACTGTGGCTGTTTTGGGATCGTAGAGAAGATGATTTTGTAGTTTTATGTTTCTTTTCAATACTTAAATTCATGTAAAATGAAGAATATGGGCTATTAAAATTCTATAATTATATTCAAGGTCTGTGTTGGAAGAACTGCAAGTGAGCGCACAACGCTTTTTGTCAGCTGAAAAGACAGGAAAGGTGAAAGGACTCATACTCACTCTTAAGGGAAATTCCAGTGGAAAACATAAAGGCCATGATTTTTACTCCAGGTATTTTGCACCTTGGTATGGACTTCTGGAAGATCCTGTTACAGGTATGCGTTTGTGTGATAAACAACTACTACTTTTGTTTCAGTTCAATTAAAAGGTTCTTACTAAACTTCATGAATCTGGTTTTGTACTTTGGAGTTTCTCTTATAAATTACTGTTTTATGTGGATAGCAGGAGTGTGCTCATTAAACTGAAAACTTCATGGCTGATGCCAACTCATTCAGAAAAAATCAGCTTCTTGCTGTCATCAGGCCAGATATTGCTGTGTCTTTTTCAGATCTTTTCCCTGAAGTATTCCAATTAGTGAAAAGCAAGAGACTAGTTTGGTATTGAATGAGTATTACAGTAGAAGTTCATATCCACTTCTGTTGGTGTTCTGCAATTTTTTTTTTTTTTGCACTTCAACTGAGATCTCCTCTGGTTTCATGATACTTATTGTGGATATTCTCAGGCCTATGAATAATATGAACTCAGCTAATTGTATATTTAGGGGCAGGAAGACTAGTTCTCTGCCTGTTCCTTTGATGTTCCACTCAGTAGGTGTGATGATGATTGCTGCAGAATGATGTTATTTGCTTAGGTACCAGTTAATCACAGGTTAGTTATTAGTCAGCTGAGAACTTGGTCAAAAATGCTCATTAAATGTTTTGCTAAATAAAGATAAAACTTTCTTTGTTGGAATAATGCTAGTATTCAACACAGAAAGAAAGGTTTACAAAGAAATATAAGCTATGTATTTCAGTTATTTCTTAAGCTTTCAGTCCTGCGTTCTTGATAAAGCCAGGGTCAGAGTCTAGAAGGTTCCTGAATATCTGAGATTTTTCTAGGCTTGTCATAGAGCACTGTTGCTTGTCTTCCATCTTTAAGTGTCCTTTCTTTTATAGAAACAAATCTTTTTATTATATTGCTGAAGTATACTTTTAACAGTGTTATGGCTTTGTATTATATTTCTTTTCTAATGATTTCTTAATAATGCTACATGTCCTGGTGTCCTTGAGCCCTGATAATTATAGTTACTTCACAGTAGGGTTTCCAGTGGATTGTCTTTGCCCCTAGCTGCTTATGTAGACTGAAGCAGCATTTCTAGCTACGAACCTGAGAAGTCATCCTAAGTTTTTAAGCCATCTGCTGGTCAGGAAACAAGAAATTGGTCTTTTAGTTTTCAGAAGCTGTGGTGAGACCTTAAAGATCTCCTTGAGTAACATCCTGATACTTACCAGCATTCAAAACTGAAAAAAAAACCTGAGTTTTTTTTGTGAAAACTGTTAGGAGAGGAAATACTTTTGTTTTACACAGTGACTTCTATCCACCTGTTCCCATTCTTAAAAAATACTCAAAAGCCTATTCAGATTTTTGATGGGTAGCTGTTCATGTTTCATTGAATAACCTCATGTTTAGATGAATATTATTTTGTTATTAATATTTTGAGATTTTGTTATTAGGAAACTTCACTTTTGGTAAACAAATGAGTACTTTTGCTCAAGTATTGTAATCAGTACTATGTGTTATTCCTACCAATTGTGGCTAATCATGAAGCCCTCATCTAGGCAAAATTTCCATTGAAGCCAGAGGATGAGGAAGTAATACTGCTTTATCATAAATAAATGAAATGATAAAGCCTTAAGTTCTGTCTGCTGTGCAAACTCTTAGGTGTTTTTGCTGTAAACACACATATGGCACTTGATTTGTTCATGACATTTACATTTTGAATGTGCTTGCTCTATAAAGTAGTGATTCTAATTTAATTATGTACTTTGTTTTCCAATTTCTTTTAAGGATCTGCCCATGCTGTTTTAAGCAGCTACTGGTCAGAGCAGCTGGGGAAGAAAGAAATGCTTGGTAAGAGAAACTGTTTTCTTGCAAAGCTGCCTGTTTATGTAAAAGCTACTCACTAGAAAAGAAAAAGTTATGTTATTACTACAATCTAAACTGTAGCAATAACTCCCTATCCATTTTCTCAATATGAATAGAATATTATGTAGTATTTTGTGTGTGAGGTAGCTTTAAGAAATTGCTTTCTTTTCTACCCACCAGCAAGACACATCATGCCCACAGGGAGTTCGAAGTGTCAGTTTCTGGATCATAATTCTCTGCAGTTAGTTTTTGATTTTAAAACACACATATGGCACTTGATTTGTTCATGACATTTACATTTTGAATGTGCTTGCTCTATAAAGTAGTGATTCTAATTTAATTATGTACTTTGTTTTCCAATTTCTTTTAAGGATCTGCCCATGCTGTTTTAAGCAGCTACTGGTCAGAGCAGCTGGGGAAGAAAGAAATGCTTGGTAAGAGAAACTGTTTTCTTGCAAAGCTGCCTGTTTATGTAAAAGCTACTCACTAGAAAAGAAAAAGTTATGTTATTACTACAATCTAAACTGTAGCAATAACTCCCTATCCATTTTCTCAATATGAATAGAATATTAAGTAGTATTTTGTGTGTGAGGTAGCTTTAAGAAGCTTTCTTTTCTACCAACCAGCAAGACACATCATGCCCACAGGGAGTTCGAAGTGTCAGTTTCTGGTCATAATTCTAGCTGGGGAAGAAAGAAATGCTTGGTAAGAGAAACTGTTTTCTTGCAAAGCTGCCTGTTTATGTAAAAGCTACTCACTAGAAAAGAAAAAGTTATGTTATTACTACAATCTAAACTGTAGCAATAACTCCCTATCCATTTTCTCAATATGAATAGAATATTATGTAGTATTTTGTGTGTGAGGTAGCTTTAAGAAATTGCTTTCTTTTCTACCCACCAGCAAGACACATCATGCCCACAGGGAGTTCGAAGTGTCAGTTTCTGGATCATAATTCTCTGCAGTTAGTTTTTGATTTTAGCTTTTGGATTTTAGTTGTCATAAGCTTTCATCATAACTGAAGCTTGGTGAACTTCAGATGATGTTGTTTATGTGTTTTGATTGAATTTTACTTTACTACTTGGTCTTTATGGCTTGCATTTCGGGTATTGGGAACATGTATTGGTATTTTCATTAACGATGTGTACTTTTCAGTACAATTTGGACAGTGTTTCCCTTTCCCTTCATGTATATTAAGATGAGACTGAAAAAAGTCATATGGTTTTTGCCTGATTTTGGAATTTTCTTGAGAATTACTCCAGATTAATCCCTTCAGTGACTTCTTTAGGAAACTTCGGGTTTAGAATAGCTAGTGTTATTATGGCTAGATAAGAAAAGATGATGTATTTTTAACATTCAGATTCTACTTACAGAATGTGCTTTATGGTACAGGATTTTTTCTAGTTTCTGATACATCTGTGCATTTAGGTATGAAGATCAGTTTTCCTCAGGATGATGATCTTTTACATGGTAGCAAGGAAGGATATAAGAAAGAATAGTCACTTATGTTACAAGAACAGAAAGAACGTGACTGACCTTAAATGTGTAAGAATGGGGACAAGATACATGGGCATTGGCAAATTTTATTTGTTTGTGATTTTATTTGCAGTCTTACTTTTAAATGATTAAGCCTTAAAGGAATCTGAGATGACTAGACCTCTGAAGTCACAGAAGAGATTTATTGGTATTCTTTCAATCAATGAGATATGCTTATTAGATCACGTATTTGTTGTTAAGCAAGAAACTGAAGAACTAGGTGGAAAAAAACCAGAGAAACTATTAATACATGAAAACACTAGATAAAGAGGCATTGAGTGTCTTTGCTTCTCATGTTTCTAGTGCTTTGCCAGAGAATGGGAGAACAGAAGCAATACAAAATACCCTAGTCCCTATCTGGTTCCCTAAGAGCGGGCAGGGGATTACAATTCTTTCGTGCACCTGACAACAATTAAGTCTTTGGTAACATTTAGTTTAGAACAGAGATTGGATCCATGAACTGATAAGGTTCCTTGTCCATAAAAGTGAACGCTTAGCCAAACAGCTACCTTAAACATAAGCCTTCCTATATTTGGTCAAATGAATCTCAAAATGGATTTTCTTGAGAATAAGGTCTTTAAAGGATCTGTTTGCGCTCCATAGCTCAGTATGGTAATCCACAATGACTGAGACCTTCTCCATTGTGGATTGAAGGAAAGGTTTAACATTCTGTTCTGAAGATCTCGTATTTGCATTGACATCACCCAAATCTGTGATAGTTTCCATAATATTGGGGGGAAAAATCCCAACATATTTTCTGAAGAGGAGAAACGGTCTTTGGTAATGCATCCTTATGGACTGGCTGTTTCTCAGAAGATTTTGACATTTTTGGATGTTAATGTGGAATTTGAAACTCTTATGTGCCATCTATAGACACTGCTTCTTTAAGTAATGAAATAGACAGGAATTCTGTCTGTATTTTTAAATGATACTTTCTACCTGTTTTGCTTTTTTATGTATTTTGTATGTACTGTGCCATTTCCTCTTTTAGAGAAACTATATCAAGCAGCAAAGGCAATTGATACTGTAATCAGCTTCTCTAATGTGTTTAGCACAAAAAAAAGTCCTATCTTCCCACCAGATAGATTTTTTTTTTTTTCTTTTTTTCATATTTCATGCATATATGTCCTCAAACTTCTTTTGGGGTAGAAATCATACAAAACTGATTTAAAGAGAACAAGTTAATTTGAGGTCTGATCAACGTGTGGTCTCTACATGTGTTTACGAGAAGTAACTTTTCCTTACATGCACGTGACTGAAGGGTATCAGGTAGTACTGGGGTGAATTCTATTACTAATGAGATTATTTGCAAAAGATGGCTGGCAATCAAGAAGATTCCATATCACCGAAGATTAATAAATAAGAGCATCTTTTGACTTTTTAGAAACCTTTGTGGTAGCTTCTGTACTATCTGTAATATCCGATAGCTTCCTTTTTTTGCAAGAATAAAGGAAGATTTTCTTCCATAAAATGAAAGATCTGTTAGTTCCAAAGTAGATCACATATGAAATAATGTAAAAATGAGGAACATTAAATCTATTGTCAGATCTCTCTGGGTTTTGTGACCTCAGAGGAGGTCAGCTGCATCTCTGCTGAAGTATCAGACATAATTTCCTGTGTTTGGGTTCCCTTCCTACTTTATTAGACCAAATTGTCAAACAACAACCACCCCCATCAACTACAAAGAGAATTTTCCAGTCTTTTTACAAGGTGAAATCCTTTATGATCTTTCTTGAAACTATGTACATGTCCTTGAATTTAAGCTGAGTATTAAATCAGAGTTCAGTATCAGTCTTTGCCTTTTTTTCATTTGAAGTCTCTGCAATATTTCAAAAATTATAATCTCTCATATCAGATGTATAGTTTCATAATTGCTAATGAACGCAACATGTAGCAACTGTCTCTGTATCCAGCCTTTCACATAGTTTTCACATTTCTAAGATAACATTTATAAACATGCATAAGGAATTCGATATAACCAGATTACAGAAGACTTTCCAAATTATTGTGAAGAAAAAGGGCTTTATCCAGGACAGATTTTAATCTCAGGTGAAGCTAGAGGAATCTTTCTGTACCTGTTTACTTCAGACAACTGTATTAATTTGTGGGGAAATTTTGGTTCTTGTTACTGCCTTTAAGTTCTCTGATTCCTTCCCAGTACAGAACAGGTTTATAGCTTTTTTTTGGGAAAAAAGAAACAAAACAAAAACCAAAAACCAAACCTTACTTTGATAACTATAAGATCATACTTTCACAAATTTTGCCAGGATTTCTTTCAACACAAAGTCTGTCCCATCTTCTAACTTTTCAGTATCCTCACTTTTCAGTATCCTCACTTTTTTTTTTTTGTGAAGAAGTTGCTTTATTAAGGTAGAATAAATCTACCTGTATTTAAGTTTTTGCTAATTTGAATTCTCAAGAAGTGAAGAGTTTTGCAGAGTTAATTCCAGCTTCCATCTTTCTCAGGTAATCTCAACATATAGATTGACCACATCAGATTTATACACAAGTGTAACATTTCTGCTAAAGGAGAGGTGTTTCCCTCCATCTATCACCAGATTTATCTACCTTCTTTCTTAGAATAAAAAAAAAAAGTCTTGGAGTTCTTAACATCACTTAAGTTAAAGGGACAAGTGCTTCTTTCATCAGTCCTTTTATAGGGTTTAGAAATTCAACCAAAATAATGGTGATTTCTAAAAATAGATATTTTTACAAGAGTGGCACTTGTTCCTGAGTTGATGTCATTGTGATGATGTCATGAAGAAAATCCATTACTTCTCAAATTCTGAAATAGTCATTTAGATACATCTAGGCTGATAAGCTCCTCAAAACAACAGGATAATATTAGTACAAGGCCACTGGCTGCCTTGTGAATGCAGTGGTGCATGATTCTATCTATGTTTCTGTGATATCAGCATGCTCAATCTCACAGTCCTTGTACCTACTCTTAAACTTCCCTCTGTCTCAGCTTGATCACAGAGGAATTCAGGGCACTGTGAATTCAGCTGTTATGTATTATTTCTACAGATCAGAATGTACATACTTGTTTTCATACAAAATGTATAAAATGTATATGTAGTATGAGATATTCCTAGTCAGTATAGACGTGGGTGGACGTACAACAACTTTGTGATCCAAAAGGCAAGTGCACATCAGAGATGCTTGAATGTCTCTGGAGACACTGCTATTAAATGAAATCCTCTAGGTACTGAAATGTTCCATGCAGGTCTGTTTACTTTCAGACATAGTGTGAAATATCAATGCTTCTGTGTGAGAGAAAGAAAAGATCAAGTATTATTTTCATATAAGCTTGGGTGAAGTTTTCTTTTGTGTTTTTTTTTTTCTTCTACTTTGAAGGTTTCTTTAAAAAAAAAATGAAATGGACCAGTATCAAAACAGTCTCAGTAATCCTGCCATGAAACAGACAGCACTGGTTCCACATTTAAAGAAAGAAAAAAAAACCACCCAACCAACCTCTGAAGATTTAAAATAATTAATCTCTCTTATTTAAATCTGCTATCATGAGGGAGTGGGAGAGTTTAGCTGCGTATCGCCACTTGGCAATAATAATTGATCTAATTTAGCATGGTCTGGATCTCTAAGTGTGCAAAATATTCCAATTGAAGTCATTGCTCCATACGTAGATGTTGTTCTGACAAGTTAAAAACATTAACCGGTAGTTCTGTAAATGGAAAAGAACAGAAAGTATCAATCTTTCTATAGCTTCTGTTTCCACTGTTTTGGAGTGTTTGCTTTGTCTGAGAATCTAATATCCTGTTATAAGGAAGAGCTGTCTTGTCAGCTGTGGCTGAGAAATTGTTTTAAAGCGTACAGTATATATGCTATCTGTTGAAGATCCTATGCTCTGTTGGGATCTGAATACAATCTCTACCCAATTGACAAATTGTGGGTTTGTGAGGAAAAACATGCCCTTTGGCTTTGAACAACTTTTGTAGTAGTTGGAAATTCATTGAGTAAGGAGACTGTGAAGATTAATGACTCATCATCCATTTACAGCCTTTTACAAAAACACCGCTGTATGAAACTCAAACCTTTGTTAAATGCCATCTGAACCAGACCGTTTTCTGATCAAGTAATTGTGCAGCTAAAATTGGACTACTGAACAAGTCTACAGACTCAACGTGCTGAGTGAGCGTTATTGTCCCACCTGTGTATGACTAAACAGTTTAGGCAAAAGTTCGGTTTTGTAATTACTTACAAGTGGAAGGCTATTTCTATTTAAACTTTATCCAGATGTATTAAATGATATATTCAGGATTATATAAATCAGTATCTGTTCCTGTCTATGTAGGAATTCGATCTCAGTTTGTGACAGCTGAAACAGCATCTATGTTTCTTTGTAGACTTTTTCCACTGGCTGGTTGAGTTTTATTTACCCATTAGCTAAACGCGTTCTTTGAACCTAGTATCTACTTCATATGTTCAATACTGGTGAAGTGGTTCTTCATTCTTGTGCAGATAATACTTGGTGTTCTTCCTTCTTACCTACAGAAACTGTCTATCCCATGAATGGGAGAATTCAAGACTTCTTTAGATATACAAAGGAAACTTGGTTGGCTACGTCACAGCAAACTATCATTCACTACTTGTATTAACTGGCATCTGTCAGACTCAGTAGACCAGTTCTAGTCTGAGATACACCCTCAGCTAATCTTCATCCGTAAAGACAATTCATCCAGGGTGTCCCTGGTGCAGTGCTTGCCCTGGTGCTGCTTTCTTTCTGGAGACAGAGGCCTCATTTCCCTGAGTTTTCATGGATTTTTGAATAATTTGTTATAGATACTAGTTTTTTAACTGTGGATTCTTGTTTCTGTTTAGCTTTTCAATGTTCCCGCCGTGGAGGAGAGTTGAAGATCTCACTGCGTAATGATGGAAGAGTTGACATTGCGGGGCAAATTGCTGTTGTATTAAAAGGAAACCTGACTTTCTGAAGATATTGACACTAACAATTTCATCTCCCGCACTTTCACATTATTCATATTATGCTGATTATATCTTAGCTCTAGGCAGTGAATCACCACTGTGCTCAAAAGTCTTTGATTACTTATTGTCCATCTTTAAAAATTGCTTGAAAATGCTCACTTCTAATCTTCAAGATCCTTGGTATTGTTTTCTTCACTTTCATCTTGCCACTTCATATGTACACTGATCTCGGAAAATGTCCAAGGACAGCTACCTTGTTTTTCTGCTTTTAAATGATTCTTTTCTTTATTTCCAATTTTCACGTTAAAAGCCATTCCTGCTTCCTGTATTGAATTGTAAACTTTTCTGATTGATAAAATAATCAAACTTTTTCCATATTCAGTCATTCTCCATGAAATCTGACTACAGTCCTTTAAAAAAAAAAAATCTCTCTGCCATATATTGAAATGATGCTCATATGTTCATTAATTTACTTGAATTAAAATATGAAAAAAAATGGTTTAGAAATGTGCTTTATGGTTCCCTTTTTATGAACAGTATTTTTCAAAGATGAATGGTATTGCAGTGGCTTGTAGTACTGCTGCTTAGTCAATATTTTAATTAAACTTTTAGCAGAAAGATTTAAGAGATTGACATAGTGATGCACATAAAACTGGTTAAAATCTGAAAGAAAACCTTACTGGTTACAGCAGTATCATTTACCTTTCAAAGACTGAAGATTTGCTCCTAAATTAACAGTTTCTTCTGTAATTTTCTTCATGAAATGTACTGCTTCAGATTTTGTCGCTTTCTCCTTTAGTGTTCTTGTCTTTCTCTGAATTTATTAGGAATATTGAACTGTTTCAGTTACTCTAGCTAAAACTCTGTTTTCCCTTTCAAATCACTTTTGTCCTAAGCTTTGCTTTAGTTCTTTTCCTTTGCAATATTTCAGGCTGAAGTATTTTGAACTCAAAGGCATTTTCATACTTTGGGAATAGCTGCATGTCAGCCCTTTATAAATGATGAGGAACTTAGTTGTGCCAAGTTGCCCTATTTCCAGTTATTTTGAATTTTATCATAACTTGTAACTTACATCTTACTTAAGCTTGAGTAGCTGGAGGCAAGTAGCAGTGTGAGAATCCAAGGATATTTGGATTGTTTTGCTGCATTTGCTACTTCCTGCTGGCTTATGCAGAGTGAATCTGGCCCATAATCTGAGACGCTTTGGAAAAAAAAAAAGCCCTCCTTTAAGAATATAAATGAACTAAAGAAGCAATTATTGTTCTCCCATCCACATTTAACAAATAGTACAATTATTTTTTTTACTCAAGGGGACTAATAATGAACAAAGCACAGTAAATTTTAAATATACTTGCTATCTAAATTTCCTGACCAAACCAATATCTTTGCTGCTTAATGCATTTTTTTTTTTATAGTTTACTACTACTTTGCTTCTATTTCTGTTCAGGATACAAAAATCACCAGAGCTCAGGTGGGAGACCATGCAGTAATGTGTTTGTAATCAACAGCTTAGTTAATCAGCCATGATTTATTAATGATGAATTAATTATACCTGATTGTGCAGTTCTGCTGCCTAAATGGAGCTTTAAAGGAGTTATTTTATTAATCATCACTGTGCTAATTGCAGACACTTACAGAAGGATTGCTAATTAAACATGCAACCATATGCAAAACAAGCAAGGCTGCTGAGAGTGGCAAGAAAAAGAGCACTCATTTTCTGAGTAGCAACTTTATTTTCATGAAATATTGCGTAGTTCACCTGGTGATTCTAATTACTCACTAAGACTTATTTTAATACATTGCATATTTTCAGTCAACAGTAAAGGAAATTACTTGTTGTGACAAATTCTGTCCATCTTTCCTAGTGCAAAAAATAGGTTGTGTGAACTTCAAATAAAATTATTTAGAATTTGTGTGGCCTTGTTTCACGTTTTCATGTGAAGGATTTACCTGTTGGTTTTATTAGCTGTATATAGTTAATCTACCTTAACTATCTTAACTTTGAGCAAGATCCTGAATGCTAAGTTACCTTAGCATCAAATGAAACGTCTGACTATACTTGAAATGAGAATTCAGACTCAAAATCGCATGAGTTTCACATCAAGAAGAGGAACACAGTGGTGTTTAACTATGTTAATTTCCAAAAGCCAAAGTCAGCACGGAAAATGAAGAAAGGAAACAGTACTTAGAGGTAGATTTCTATGAAGTGGCTACTATAATTTAAACAAACATTAGTGCCATGTGATCTTCAACCTATGCAGCACAAATGTTAGGTCCTTATAATGCTAAAAACCATCTCTTTAATAGAGCTATAGAATTTCATGCAGACTTTATCATCATGGACTTTCCATGAACTCTCTTTTTAATGCAAGTTGCTAGGCCTTCCTCATTAATTAAATAAAACTTTGTTTAAGAGAGAATTTTCTGGAAATGACTGTATAATATTACAATTATTAACATAGAAGTTTGGAATTTAACGTTTCTCTAAGAAAATAGTTAACTTGCATTGTTTTGATTAAGATGTCAAATCAAAAGTTAAATTAAGTGAAGATACTAAGTGGAAGGTTGGAAAAATGCAATGTCTCTTTGTTTAGTGTTTCTGGTGCAGAGGATTTGCAGAACTGTTTTGTGCTGCACTCTTAATTAAGACTGTAGCATAGGGATGTGTTGAACCAAGAGCAAATTATGTGAAGGGAAAATACAATTCCAAAAATTCCTGTGCTCTTGAGTGTTTATCATGAGTGTCCAACAGAAGGTCATTAAGTTACAGGCCACCATCAGTTTTGAGTAAATCCCTGGCTAGATCCATCACCCAAAACATGAACATTTAAATGCATGTTTGCTCATTGTACTTCTTTGGTGTGTGCCTCTGCAGAGGCATAGCTCATGTAGGGGCCAGGAAGAAAGCACGTAACCACGAGGAAGGAAGCAATACAAGAAAAAAAAATATTGAGCAACAGAAACCATATAAGTTTGTTGCTATGGAAATGAATGTACAGCTAAAAGGGATTAAAAGAAAATGGGAAGCCTTTTTTTTATTCAATAAGCCATTTAACGGGTTTGCTTAAAGGATTCATGAAAATACTTTGCATTTCTTTTGTGTTATCTAGATGAGGATAGACAGAAAACATATATTGAAAAGTTGTTACCAAAACTGGAAAATTTTGCAAAAGGTGGGAATAAAAGATCTCACAAATGCGTACACAGCAAGAGGTCATAGAAGGGAGCCATGTGTTCCATCAGGGATAGGAAGGGAAATTAGCAACAGATGAGGCAGTTATTTCTGGGAAAGGAAAGATTTCTTTGTCTCAGTATTCATCAGAGTGACAGGGAAACATGCCAGGAACAGAGGGAACCTTCCCAGAAGTAAAAAAAGGAAACTAAATGAAAATTAAGGGTGATGCCAGATCAGGTAAAAATTAAATTAGTTCAATTAAAAACTGAAAAATCTGCCAATTAAGCAGTTTGATTCCGACTTCTAATTTTTTTTTTCCCCAAGAGGAGTAGATCTGTCTTTAAAGTAATTACCAGACTTAAACAAAAAGACAGAACAAGGGATTTTTCTCAATTGCTGAGTCACTGTCCTTTTATTTCCTAAAATTTACTACAAAAATTAAACATTTTCAAAAGAATGGGAAAGTAGAATAACAAAACCCAATATTACCAGATAGTCGAAAAGTGTGAAAATTTTTTTACTACAGGTCAGTTTTAGACTAAGACTTTTAGTTTAGACTTAACGTCTAAAGCAGAATTTGAAAAAATAAACCTTTCTAACTCTGTTGGTTTCTTTAGTGAGAGGTTCCCTTTGACTTGTGTTTTTGCCTCACTGATTGGCAAAGGAGGACATTCCCTGGTTTTTAATGTCATGAATCATATAAGCCTAAGTTTATCCACTTACCAGTGTTCCGTGACTTTTTTTGGTGATACACCCAAACCAAGAAACCACTTTCCCACATGTAATTTTTGCCCTGTTAATAATTACAGGGTAGATAAAATACATTAAGCAAACTCAAGAAAAATTCTCAAGAATGTTTCTAGAATTGTGAAGAGGAAGGAGTTTGAAGGAGAGGAAGTAGGTTTGTGAGGAGAAGGAGGTGTAATGCCTGTGTAGAGACTGTAATATGTGATCATAATTAAAACACTTAAGGGCATGCCCTCAGTTTTTGCCACTAGTTGAAGTTAATGATGCAAAGACAGTTTGTATGATCTGGGAGTCGGGCTGAGAGATGGTAGGCCAGAGAAGAGATTATGTAGAAGTTTGAAGGAGAGGAAGTAGGTTTGTGAGGAGAAGGAGGTGTAATGCCTGTGTAGAGACTGTAATATGTGATCATAATTAAAACACTTAAGGGCATGCCCTCAGTTTTTGCCACTAGTTGAAGTTAATGATGCAAAGACAGTTTGTATGATCTGGGAGTCGGGCTGAGAGATGGTAGGCTAGAGAAGAGATTATGTAGAGTATAGTAGAGCTGGAGCAGAGTATGAGGTGCAGCAAAGCCAGGAACCTGAATTTGAATTCAAAGGTATTCTCTACTGATCGTTTGCTATGCTTTGGACCCAAACCAAAGGGGTCTTACCAGGGTGCCCATCCCACCAAGCTCAATTCAGGTGGGAAATGACAGCTGGAATTCTTGAATTTTTCTTTTGTTTCGGAAAGCCTCCTTTCTCCATAAATGTTTACAGCTGTAAACAGAAATAAATTATAATCTTAATGACTATGATAATTTCAGTCCCCCATATTCAGAAAGAAATGGCTCCTTTCTGAACAAAATCTGTTCTAAAAACAGCCTTTTGGACTTCAATATGTTTATGCGTAGCAGCTTTCTGAAGATGTGTCTGATTGACTTACATATTTAACATGGCAGCCTGTGTTTTTAAGGAGTATGGTTACTGCAACTTTCAGAAACCTTTTGGCAGTTAATAGGAACAATAAACAAAGTACCCTCTTAATAGCAAACTGCAGGCACTTTCTCAATAAAGTTACAGTTTCAGCAGAAAAAAAATGTAGATTAAAAGGAAACACCTGCTCCTGTAAATTACTATGCTGCAGGTAGCAACCCAGGAGACTCTGCAGATGGTTCTGTATTTGCAAACCTGACCTCACCACCCCTTCATCAATCTCTGACTGATTGATTCTCTCCAAAGTAGAACCCACCATATCCCAAGGTACTAGAAGACACCTTTGAATTAGTCCCAGTCAGAATACCAATTAAGTGCTACTTGTGTTTCAGTTTGGAAGTTCTTAAAGGATTCAATTTTCTCATCGAGCACTAGCACTGACTAAAAGGTGGTACAGTCAGACAGTTCCAGGAAGAGCTCCAGAGGGAATTGTACTTCAAGAGGTGTAATCTCTGCTAGATTTCCCTGCTGACTGGGAGTGTGGATTAAGTTGTGCTATGCCCTAGGATTTTGCGACGGACAAAAAGAAGGTGGAATCTTGATCCTTAAAATGGTACAATATGAATTCATCACTTCAGTTAGCCTTCCCTGCCAGCCAAGAAAAAGTAGA